AAAAAAGAAAAAAAAAATAGTCAACGCCGAAAACCGGCAAAAAAAATCGAAAGAAAAAAAAAATGAAAATTCAACGCCGGAATCCGGCGGCAAAATTTTTTTTTTGAAAAAAAAAAGTTTTGGGTCAAAATTGAATAATTTGTGAAATTTGGGATCAAATTGATAATAAATTAAGTTAAGGATGAAATTGGAGCATATTAAAGTATCCTCCAAAAAAAAGTCAAAATTGAATTTTTGTGGTCAAAATTGGATTTTTGTGGACAAAATTAATTAAATTGGGGTTACAATTAAGAATTGGGTATAAATGGTTGAGGGTAATATTGGGATATACATGAATGTTTCCTTTATTTATAATAAATTTCAAAGGGATGGGCTTATTGGTAAAAGAGATATATCTCTTAAACCTAGAATAATAAAGATGACTTGGTTGAGGACTTAGAATGTTTTTCTTGTGCATTTAATTTAGGGAAAATTGCACATCACCCCCTATAAATTTCTAACTTTTGCACTTTACCCCCTCACAATTTCAAAAAGTGAATGTCCCCTTCAAAATGTTATTCTTGTTGCACATTGCCCGATAGCAAAATTCCGATGGATTCACCGGAATTGAGTGTTTTTGTTGCACTTTTCCCCTTTAAATATTATTTTTTTGTTGCACGTTGCCCCCCTACAAACATTATTTTTCTACACATTACCCCTTTAAAATGTTATTTTTGTTGCACGATGCCCACCAAAAAATATTTTTTGAGACAAAGTACAATGGAAAAATACATTGAAGGGGGGGTTATCTCTTTTTTGAATTTCTCGGGGGGAAAGTCCAAAAAGGCGAAATTTATAGGGGGTGAAGCGCATTTTCTCCTTTAACTTAATAGAGTTTTGAATATATTTTAGGGCAGATTGCACATCATCCCCTATAAATTTCTATTTTCGCACTTTACCCCCTCAAAATTTTTAAAAGTGAATGTCTCCCTTCAAAATATTATTCTTGTTGCGCATTGCCCCGATAGCAAAAATCCAATGGATTATTCATCGGAATTGAGGATTTTTGTTGCACGTTGCCCCTTAAAAACATAACTTTTTTGCACATTGCCCCTTTAAAATGTTATTTTTGTTGCACAATGCCCTCCAAAAATTAGCTAATGGGGCAAAGTGCAATCAATATAATACTTTGAAGGGCAAATATCCATTTTTTTATTTTTTAGGGGGGAGAGTGCGAAAACATAAATTTATAGGGGGCAAAGTGCATTTTATCCTATATTTTATTAGTTTTTTTGGTTGAGTCATAAATATGCATTGGTTTTTTTTATACTAATTATTAATGTTCATTTCATTTAATTTTACAAGAAGTTTTAATATAAAGTTTTTTTCGTATAGATTTTTATTGTTGGTTCATTTTCATTGTGATCACTAAGTATATGTTTTTACAAAAAAAATATTTAGATAAATATGAATTTAATTATTATTTTCTCAAATAAAACCTAAGAAATATTAATTAAACATTAGTTAGAATTATTTCCTTCATAAGAAATATGTAGTAGAACATTTATATATTAATACTCGATAAATTAATAACCTCGCTTAATTAATAATCTTGTCCGGTCCCGGCTCGGTAAACATGTATTAAATTATTTGCACGATAATTTAATATTTTGCTAAATTAATTGAATTTTTTTAATCTCGACTGTATTAATTTATAGAAGTTTTACTGTAATTGTATATTTTATTCAATGGTTTATTGAGATTCTTTATTGCAAAAATATAACAAAAAATAAATAATTAATATGTTAAATTTTTCCCATTATTTTGGCGTCTTTGACATTGAGGATCAAATTCCCCTCCAAAACCATTCTAACTCAATAACCATATCACCTAGTTTATTTTTAACCTATTTATTTTTATAAATTAAATGTCAACTTATTCAACCAACCATCACATTACCTCCAAAATCCCAACTTTTGTAACTTAAAGCACTAAAATCCTGATTTTGAAACATGGTGGACTAAGGTGGTGTTTGCAAAAGCTTATTTAAAAGCATAAGTTGGTGATTGTGAATTAAGTTGATATTAATTAGTGCTTAACTCTAAAAGTTGGGGGTGTATGCAAAAAATCTGGAAAATTAACTAAAATAGAAGAAGGAGGTACATGGGTGATTTTAAAATTATAGCTTAAAGCAGCTTATTTTAAGAGAAGCAGAAGCAAAAGTCGGTTTTGCAAACACCTAAAAACAGATTATATGAGAAAAAAAACTCATAATCTATTTTTAAAAGGTTTTGCAAACACCACCTAAAACTCCAAACTAGCAAAGTTACAGGACTAAAAAACTCATTTTGCCTAAAATTAATATTAAAAAGAAGAATTATTATTAAATTGAGATAATTAGCAAGAACCCTCAATTTAGGGAATGTAGTTGAGGAAAATCTCTCCCAAAAGTAATTAGAGAAACCTCAGTCCCCTTTAAAACAATACTTTTAACAAATCTAAAATGTTTAATATACCCTTGAAGAACCCTATTTCAATTGTTCTTTTTTCTCTCCCTATTTCTCCCGTCGTCTCTTTTCTCCCTTTTCTTCTTTCTCTTCTCTCTTTTCTCACACGACACGGTGCCGCAGCTGAGAGCGCTGCCGGAGCGGCGGTGATGCTCACGTGGATGGGCTGCGGCGGCGGCAGAGAATTTTGGGGGTTGATGAAATGGAAGCTGTGGTGGTGGTGGCTGTCGACGGTGGAGTTTGCGGCAGCGAAGAGCCCGGCGTTTTTTTTCCACTGGAGGGGTTCTTGCTTGATATGTACAAGGTGGGGATGGTGATGGTGTGGTGTAACATGTTTATGATCCAAGGCATGGTTGAACCGACCCATGAATTGATTCGCAGCCACTCATTGTGTGTCGTAACCCTCTTCAAATGTGCGGAATTTCTCGAGGAAGCCACTCTACCCACTAGTCGAAATAAGCTTATGAAATCCTAGTTTGTGATTGCGTCTGCCTAATAGTAATTCTCGTCCGTGATTAGAAACTTCGAGCGATTAATCCGGAATTACCTTTCATCGGGCCGAGTGTGTGATTTAGTTTGAGGAACGTAGCATCCGAAATTTTTTTTACGACAACTGGAGAGCGGGAATAGGTTTTAGAGTAATTTTTTAAAAGATAGACGCGTACAAGGAAATAATAATTAAACCTTATTAACAAAACGAACTATACGGCACATGAATATGAGAAGTAAAAAATACGATCAAATAATGCAGAACTAAACGGTTAATTACAACCAACACCCTGAGGTATGCTTAAATTACGAAAAAAATCCCTCTTGTTTGGATAATTACATCTACCCCTCAACTATGAATCTTCTTACACCTCCACCCTTATGGTATAGAAATTCAACATAATCATCTAGATTCCGTGGAATGTGCTCTAGTTTGTACTCGTTTTGTGTAAAAATACAGTTTCTGATACACTACAATCTGATGTATTCAAGCCAAAAAACACATATTATGATCATCTAGCTTCAAAATGTGGAGTTGGAATGGGATAAAACAGGTCCAAAATTAAGAATATTCCATATAATCTAGAAGATTCCACTAAATTTGAAACTGCAATGGTAGATGTGTAAGAAGATTTAGAGTTGATGGGTGGTTGTAATTACTCAAACAGAAGGGGGGTTTTCGTAATTTTACCATACCTCAGGGGTGGTTGTAATTTACCCCATAACTAAATCACAAAAAATCTTCTTTACAAATCACACTAAGTGCAACTCCAACGGGGTTATTAAATGGGTTATCAAACTCCTTAACCTCCATTTGACTCCCCAAATTTAAAAACTCTCTCCTCCAATGGGGTTATTAAAATAGAGTTCTATTTTGATAACTCATCCATCCGGAAGTAAAAATACATCCCAAATAAATAATTATCAAATATTCTCCTAAAAAATAGGAGCACGTAAAAAAAGAAAAACCTCAATAGGAATTGAGTTTTCATTTCTTTACGTAAAAATCTCAACAGAATAAAATTAAATCATCTACGTCTTCATTAAATTTACACTGCAAAAAAAAATCTCATAAATATCTCATCAGATTTTTTTTTCTCTAGAGCTTCAACAAAGTTCCACGGAAAAAAAAGAATCTCTATGTATATATATTTTTTTCTGTTTTGAAAAGGTAAAAAATTGACTAATATTGACTTTGAGGATAGTTTACCAGAAAAATCGGTTTGTATAGTTATTTAAAATGGAATAAAAATAAATAATACATAAATAATCATAAATTTGTTTGATAATTGTTTTTTAATACTTGTGGTTGTAGTTCATTAGCTGTACAGAGATACAAAGTATAATACTGGTTATCAAATGAGTATTTGATAACCCCATTTGATAACAATGGGTTGTAGTTGCTCTAAAGGGTGCAAGTTGGAACGAAAATTCCAATTTCCGCCGGTTTCGCTCCGAAAAGTTCCGATTTTAGAACAACTTTTTTCATTCCAACTTCTGAAATTTCGATTTCCGAATTTTTGGATTGGAATTGAAATTATATAAAATAAATATGGAATTTTCGATTTCCGATCCGATTTAATTTCAGAAATTTATTTCAAAAAATACACCCATAAATAATATATTATATAATACTTATTTTTTCGAAAAATACACCTATAAGTTTTGTTTTAGGATTTTGAGATAATGAATTGTTGATAGAATTTTTATTGGATATTATGTTGTGTTTATTTTTATTTTTTATTTTTGAACTGAAATTTAGTAATTATTAGTTTTTCTTCTATCGACGTGGATGAACTTATTTTTGGAAAATTATGAACATTTTCGAAAATTTCCGCCATGTTTTGAAATTTTAAATCTTATGTGAATTCCGATTTTTATCCGAAATTCCGAAATTACTGGGTCTTTTGGAATTGGAATGAATTTTTAGAAATTGAATCGAAATTGATTTCCTACTTCCGAATATTTTTTGAAATTTTCCAAAAAGGATAATTCCATCAGATCCATCCGACTTTCAACCCTAATCACACCCCCAAATACCCACGTTCCTCTTTTCTCAGCCGTCAGATTTCATTATCATCAACAGTACTAATTAGGACACGTGGTGTCCCACTTATCGGGAAACGAACGGTCCTTGTACAGCCACGTGTCGATTCCACGTTAAATTATCATACTCATACCCCTCTGCATCTTCGCCCCCCCCTCCCTTATCGGACCTCCGACAAATACCCTCTCGCCGCCGCACCCCGCACACTCAACCCTAAAAAAAAAGTAAATACAATAAATCTCAATCTTTCCGCCAAAATCCCGTCCCCTGATTTCTCGCCGCAAGAAAAAAAAAAAACCCAATTAATTCTTCTGTTTTCAGCCGACAAAGAAGAAAAAAAGAAAGGGTCTTTGTCGGAAACTATGGCGGATTCCGACAACGATTCGGGGGGACACAGCAACAGCAACGCGAGCAGCAGAGAGCAGGACAGGTTCCTGCCGATTGCAAACGTGAGCAGAATAATGAAGAAGGCGCTGCCGGCGAACGCGAAGATATCAAAGGACGCGAAGGAGACGGTGCAGGAGTGCGTGTCGGAGTTCATCAGCTTCGTCACCGGCGAGGCCTCCGACAAGTGCCAGAGGGAGAAGAGGAAGACGATCAACGGCGACGATTTGCTCTGGGCCATGACCACCCTTGGATTCGAAGACTACGTTGACCCCCTCAAAGTCTACTTGGCCAAGTACAGAGAGATCGAGGGGGAGAAGACCTCCGTCTCCGCCGTCAAAGACGCCGCCGGCGGTGGCTCAGCCGTCACTTCCGGCGGCGGCGGTTATAACGGTGGGGGGATTTATGGTGGTGGTGGTCCGGTGATGGGATATCATCATGGAGGACAAATGTATGGTGGTGGTGGATTTCAGCATATTGGTGGTGGTGGTAATTTGGACACTACGGGCAGCTCCGGCAGCTATGGCGGTGGAAGTGGTGGTGGAGGAGCAACAACGGGGAGGCAGAGGTGAGGTGAGGTGGGGGTGGGGGGTGGATGTTTTCTTTGCAAATTAATGAAGTTACTAATTATTTTCTTAATAGGTATATACTTTGATTAATCATCTTTTGATGATTATTTTTTTGACTCTTTTTTTCGATAATATTAATCGTGTTCCGTCTTTACTTTTTTCCGGGGGGCGGGGGCGTGTTTGATTTTTATAAAAAAAAACGATGATAATACAATGAGTGATAAAGGCGGATGTAAACTCGATACAATGTGACTGCGTTTCTTGAAATTTTGGAACATATTTGGTGATTAATTTAATTTGCTTGAATATAATGGTTTCTTTGAGAAGTTATTATTGTTAGTGTGTGTTTCTTGCTTCTCGGGTTTATGGGGTTGATTTATTCGAGTGTCTTCGATTGGTTTGTCGAGTGCTTTGTTGTTGTTTTCTCGTAAAATCGAGTCAATTGTTCTAGGACTTTCAGAAAAATCTATAAATTTGGAACAGCCACTCTAGAATCTTGGTTTTCTAGTTGCGATCGAGAATACGGGAAATTGTTCGTACAATTGGCTAAATTAATAGAATTTTGTCAGTTCCGACTCTATTAATTTATAGAAATTTAATTAACTGTATAAGCTTTATAATATGATCATGCATTAGGACAATTTGTTTTTCTTTACAGTAAGTACTAAGTACATTCTCAAGTACTGAAAAACATGGACAATTAGTGTATTCTTGTATCCTTCTCTACTTAATTACTTCTTATTTTTCTTAATAATGTAATATGTATCATGTATACAAGGTTGATTTAGTTGACTGATTTTCACATACTGTATCAAAGGTACATATTTGATTGGTTATTCGGGTGAATTATAAAAACACGCATTTGAGGTGATGTTTGTAAATCGAAACCAGATCTCCGGAGGATGTTTGTATCGGGTGTTTAGAACTGTCACTAAAGATAAATTTCTTGCTACAGGCTCATGTTATATTGGACCAAAAACAAGGAATCGAACAAATGATAAAACGGACCAATTGTAATCGTATGCTGCCCATGAGCACGACTAGGTTGGGCCAAATGCTGCCCATTAAACTCGGAATGGTCGTCTTCGAACTGGGGATGGCCGAGTATCCCTCTTCGTCGTAGTTACATAGATAGCCATTACTTCTTGCCACGACTCGCTCAAAGCTATTTTATCTGTGTTTTTAACAATGCAAATAATTGCATTAAATAAATAGATAAAATCCATTAAATTATAAGAGAAAAACAATAACCGTAGCAAACGTCTGGGCATCACACTAGTAGAAAAATGGTTTTTTACTACGAACATTAACCGTAGCAAAAGGAATCAAATTTGTAGTAAAAAGGCTTTTGTTACACATTTGCTACGAATTTGCCCCGTAGCATATACGGGCGTGACAAAAACTTTGCTACGGCAAAATGGCCGTACCAAATATTTTTTTGCTACGGTGAATCCTAGTATTTATCACGACTTCAAAATTGTTTTGTACTAAAAAGTACCTTTTATTACGGCTCTTTACCGTAGCAAACAATTTCGTAGTAAAGAGCAAATTTTCTACTAGTGTCATTACCGAAAACCAAATCGGTTTTCGGTTTTTTAGTAGTTCTATTTATAGCTAATTTCTATTTTAGTCATTTCTTGGGATGTAGTTGTTGTAGCTCGCCTACTAAGGTTTCTATATAAATTCTTTTTATTGTCAGAATACCAAAAAAGTACATGACACCGTTGTAATGAAAATTTATTTTCCTCTGATACCTTTTTTTTTTTATAAATATTATTATAATATTTACAAATTAATGAAATAAAACTTTCTTGGCAAAAAAATAAAAATAAACGCTAAAACTTAATTAGAAAATTAATAGTTAAAAGTTAATTACAAATCAATAAATTTATATTATAGTAAACTAGTAATTGTACCCGTGCGATGCACGGGACTACAAATTGCATTGTTTTGATGTTGTAAGAATATAAACAAACGTTTGATGTATCGTATGATCAAAATTCTATTATACTGGAACATTATTAAGTATACTACACACAAAAAAAAAAAGGAAATAACTTTACTGTTGAATAATGTTCCAAATTAATTGAATCAGCTAATACCAGTAGATTGAAAATTTGAACCAGGAAAAAAATTTCAATTATGTCTTTCATGTTGAGCTTAAAAGTAATTTGATTTAATAGCTTAGTTAACATAATCAAAACTAAACTATCGACAACATAAAAGGCCATCTATACATCTTGCATCGGAACTAAGCCCTTCTCCACTGCCTCATTTTAAAATTGTTTTGCCACTGGAATTAACAATTGGAAAATTAAGAAACAAAAATAAATATAAACAATAAATTAAATATCGCATACAAACAATAAGTCTTGAAGGTCGACTTCCAATAGCTTGTGGCTCCGCCCATTTTTTGGTTAATTCTCTCAAATCATCCCTTTCAATAACATGTCCAATAACATATAAAATGAAATAATTGTTATACATAAAATTTGAAAACTTTGGTATAAATTAATGAAACACATAATTTAACAAAATGAAATTACCTATAAACCATGATGGGAAAAGATGTAAACTAATTGCTACACAGTCAATAGGATGAAGAAGATAAGAAACAAAATCTAATGTCGGGTTACCAAAAGAAAAAGCCTTAGGTAGGGAAGAAATAAAATTCAAATGTTGCAGACATTCTGTAAAACGATGTCACAAAATTCGCTAGGGATGAAAATCAGATTTATTTACCCTTTTCTGTAAAAATCGAAAATCAGATTATTATAAATAATATCTAGGAGAATTTGATGAAAATAGATAATAATATTTAAAATAATATTTAGGAGATAAAAATTTGATAAAAAAAATAAAAAAAAAAATAATATTTAGGAGATAAAAATCTGATAAAAATCGAAAAAAAAAATTAAAATAATAGTTAGAAGATAAAAATTTGATAAAAATCGAAAATAACATTTCAAATAATGTTAATGAGATAAAAGTTGATAAAATATGAAAATAATAATTAGAATAATATTTAGGAGATAAAATATGATTAAAATCAAAATTATTATTTAAAATAATATTTAGGAGATAAAAATTTGATAAAAATCGAAAATAATATTTAGGAGACAATAATCTGATAAAAAACGAAAATAATATTTAGGAGATAAAAAACTAATAAAAACATGATAAAACTCGAAAAAAATATTTAAAATATTATTTAGGAGATATAACTTTGATAAAATTCGAAAATAATATTTAGGAGATAAAAATCTGCTAAAAGTTGAAAATTATATTTAAAATTATAGTTAGGAGATATAAATTTGATAAAATTAAAAAAATATTATTTATAATAATATTTAGGAGATAAAAATTTGATAAAAATAAAAAATAATATTTAAAATAATATTTAGGGGATACAAATATGATAAAATTCAAAAATAATATTTAAAATAATATTAAACAGATAAAAATTTGAAATTTTTTTACAAATATGACATTAGAGTTTCTTAGGGTTGCCCTAGCGTTTCTTTCTTTTATATATAAGATTAAAAACCAAACTTCTTTAACTTTAAACCTATTTGTCCAGTGTTACTAGCAATGTCGTGTACAAAGAGGTATTTAACGAATCCCGCATGGGTATAGCTCAACTGGTTCCGGAGGTGGTAAGATGGTACAGGGTCCTAGGAATATTTTCATTTCTGGAAACCTCTATTTCAGTGGTACCTTCTAAACAAGGAAAATTCTCAATTTAGAAAATTCGCTTGAAATCTATAAAATTGCATTCCTCTTTTTCTTCCAGTTCATAATTGAGTATTACGAATTTTAATACAATCATATTGAATTCCAATTTACCTGAGATTAACAAATTAATCTTAGTTCACCTTATTAAGGAATCTTCTCCACAAGAAGTGTAACCCTCAATGGTTCACGTGTATAACTAGCCGTGGGACCACAACTATTTGTGACTTGAATAACTGTGTATGCAATTATGGACTCGTCACAAATACCCCGATTTAGATTAAAACTTATTTTAATCTATATCGCCGATCATATTAGTTATGCCCAACGAATTATGATTGACGCCTAGCAACTACGTGTCATAATTCTCTAGATACAAATGAAGTGCATGCAAGAACCTTAATTTATAGTTAGCGTACAGTACAGTCTCTTTGACTAAACATATGCCCTGATCGAACTAGAGGTATTGGTCCATTGAAACCTCTAATTAACATTATTCGATAACTATGCGACCGTTCTAATTAAAGCTATAAAGTCCATTCGTGTTTGACTTAGAGAAACTCTTTTCTCTAATCACTACACTTTCTACTTCAGCCGAAGATTCCTTGAACAATATACTTGAAAAATACATAGGACATCCATGCAAGTACGCAAGCGGTCAAATCCCTAACTACAATGCACAGACTCCCACTAGATCTCGGACTGTGCGAACGTTGGCCCTTGCAGCGGTCTTCGAGGAGACTCAGGGACATGTCACAACACAACTGGTCCTCTAATGAAGTCACAGTGATGTATTAGGTCTAAGAACTAATGGTGTACAACTATAATCATAAAATCTCTACTCGATTAATGGGAACCACTTAGAGATTCTAGGACGGGGGAGTTCAGTGATCTCATCGATGATGAACACCCACTTATGTATGCCAATATCACTATATTGTAGCAGATGGGACTCAACTCGCATACACTTAGTGCTAGTCTCTAACGGGAAATGGCACTATCCTAATTATTGGCGTAACTCATTAACTAGGAACTTGTTTAATAGTTATCTTACTAAATGAATTATCTCATGATTACCCTAGATCAATTCATAGTAATTTAATAATAACTACAAGGTCTATATCTATGCATAATAAAATGAGACAATAGATATAGCTTGCCAAAAATAGAATTTCATTAATAACGAAAATAGATTGTTTACAAGTAAATATGGAAAGATCATAATCACAAGTTGGCTTGTTGGTCACCTACTCTAGCACATGCCCCCTCATCAGCACTATCACGCGCTACAAGGCTACCACATCAGCCAATTTTTTTATTTATTTATTTTTCTTTGCTTTTTCTTTTAACTTTTTTTTTCTGTATCAGGTATATTAATCGATATAACTTTGAAGCATAGTCGATTAAGGAACTAACTACTAAAAATAAAATAAAAAACACAATTACGTAAAAACGAAATTCGACATTTTTGTAACAAAACAAATAGTATACATAAATTATAATTGATTTGCACAAATCGGAAACAATACACAAAAATCGAAAAATGAATAAAAAAATGATGTCGACTAACCTTAATCGACTACCAAAGCAGTCGATTAACACCTTAATCGACTACCAAAGCATAGTCTATTAACTTAATTGACTACCAAAAACGTAGTCGATTAAAAGTCCAGCCTGCGTGAATTTATCTACCCGGGCCGCCCTCTGCCTGATCTACCAAAAACCCTAGATCTTCCTCCCTCATCGTCAGCACACCGCCGCCACACCACACCATCACCACCCCACTTCGATACTCTTACGGTTTTTTTATTACAAATAAAGTAAATCACAACCCGCACCACCAACCAAAGCAGAACCACCACCCATCAAAATCCTATTCCAGCAACAATCGACGAAAAAGTCATCTTCCTAGCACTCGTTCCGGCAACACGCGGCGAAAAAGCCATCTCCAAGAGAAGGTAAAGGAGAAGGAGCGTCGTTCTAGTGACGCTAGGGCTGAAAGTCGGAAGGATCGGATCGGATCGGAATTAGCCATTTTGGAATATTTCCAAAAAATTTCGGAAGTACAAAATCAATTCCAATTCCAATTCCAAAATTTTCGGAATCTAAAATTTCATTCCAATTCCAAAAGGCCCGGAAATTTCGGAATTTCGGAAATTTTTCGGAAATGACATAAGTATTAAAATTTCGAAACTTCGCTGAAAATTTCATAATTTGCTAAAAATAAAAACATCCACGTCAATTCAAAAAATAAATAAAAATAAACGACATCATAATATCCAATAAAACTTCTAGCAAAAATTAAATAAACTCTTTGGCTTTGCACAAGAAATAATAAACGTAAAACTAGGGTTTTGCATAAAATAAACTAGGGCTTTTTGAGGTGACATGGCCCATAAAGAATAAATAGAAGTATAGAACTAAACAATGTAAAATAAGTATAATATATATATATATATATATATATATATATATATATATATATATATATATATATATATATACTACTCAAAGATGTATTTTTTGGAAAAAAATCGGTTTTTTTTCGGAAAAAAATCGGAATCTTTTCGGAATTAATTTCGGAAATAATCGGATCGGAAATCAGAAATTCCAATTTGTTTTTATATAATTCCAATTCCAATCCAAAAAAATCGGAAAAAATCGGAAATCGGAAATTCGGAAATCGGAATGAAAAAAGTTGTTCCAAAATCGGAACTTTTCGGATCGAAACCGGCGGAAATCGGAATTTCCGTTCCAACTTGCACCCCTAAGTGACGCCGATGACTCTGGTTCTTCACTTCCTAGACCGAGAGAGAAAAAAACTAGAGGTTTGGGAGAGATTTGGGTAGGAAATTGAGAAGAGGAAAAAATAGCAGAGAAGAAGAGAGAGGAAAAACGTGAAAAGAAGAAGAGAGAAATGATAAATGAGATTAGGGCTCTTTTTTTAAATAAATCTGAACTTTTTTTTTTTTTTTTTACCAATTTACCCAATCAAAACAT